GGTGATCTCAAACCTTCTGTTGTGTAGCTATGCTCTGAGGACACTCGGTCTTGGGGTCAGCGAACTCAGCCTCATGTCTCTATCCACTTACAAAAGTCTGGCCCTTGAAGGGCAAAATTAGTCATTTGTCAAGGTTATTAGATTGTGGAGTCGTAAACCAAGAAGCTGGCATAGAAGGTGTTCCAGGCACAAAGCAGCCCAGGGTTGTTCCTGTGGTGGTTTTTCAATATTTCAATATTGAAGACTGTCTCTTCATTTATTGAATATGACACAACAATAATCTCCCATTTTTTCCTGTCCCCACAGTGCTTTCAGACGATCTCTTTTTTCCTGTGCTCAGTGAGAAATCAGCCCAGGAACCCCACCCAGTGAGGGAAACTGAGGTTCAGAAAGAGGCAGGCCTGGAAGGAAATCCTGCCCTAGGCACCCACGCTCTGACCCTCACCCCTCTACTCAGGCGCTCTCCCACCCCCATTTCACAGGGTGCGAGTCAAGGTCTGGGAAGTAAAGCTGTCTGCCTCAGCGTCTCAGCTGGTAACATAACAGTATAGCAAGAACTAGAACTCCGTCTCCTGACCTGTAGTTCAATCCCTGCCCACCCCCACTTTGGTTTTCCTCCAGAATTCATGGGTCTATGTAGCACTTGCTTACACCCAGTGATTCCAACATGATTACATCAAATACCATCACATTTTACAGCAGCCACAGCCAGGAGTCGAGAGAAAGAAATCTAGAGATGAGGACCCCCGGCAGTCAGCCAGGCTCCTCTGTTCATACTGGACACTACTGTTGGGGTGCACGTGGGGAGGATTCTGCTCTAATCACCAGTTCCTCTAGGCCACGGGGAGTCAGTGCTGCAGCTGTACCCTGAGCACATCGAGAGCTCCCTGGGTGCATAGCCTCTGTCAGGCTCGGCACTCTGCAGAGACTCGGTGTGATGACAGCAACTCAGGAGAGGAGGGGCTGGGGGTGCTGCAGTGGTGAAACGCACACCCACGAGGCAGACCCGTACGAGAACATTGCCCTGCACGAGCAGGTTCTGGGTTTGTACCTGGAGACCTCTGTATGTGCCTGGCACCTGTTCCCACTATCTGGCAGGCTGGGACTGGGCAGACTGCAGCATGAAGACCCAGTGAGGGTGCTGTCTCTCTCTACATCTCTGTCTCTCTCACTCATAGAGTAAGTAAAAAAATAAAAAAAGAGGGAGGAGGGTACACAGATGGCTCACAGCTGCCGTGTCAGATTGAGCAGTGGAAGTCACCCCAGGAAGGCAGGACCTGGTTGTCTGGGGCTAAGAGTTAAATGCAACCTGAAATACCAGGAGGCAGATCTGATTCTGGTTATGAAGTAAAAGGAAAGACAGTCTGGACATTAAGGGGAGAAGACAATGAGGTCCCTCATCTGTGACGGCCGTCGGATGTTCTTACCTTGAGGACTTATTTTTTCCATCTAATGTATGGGCTTGCTTTGTACCAGGAGGAAGAAGATCGCAGTTGACCATATCCTAAAAGCACATCGAGGAGGGTCCAGCAGTTAGCGTAATGGCTATGTCACTGGACTCCCACGTAGTCGACCGCAGTTCGCGTCCCAGACCCGGTGGCTTAAAACTCATGCTGGACACGTGTGCGTGCATGCCCAAGATCCCGAGAGGGGAATGGAGGAGAAGGGATTGCGGCGTGGCCATCCCCCTGGGGAGTGATTTCTTGCTTTCTGTCTCGCTGTCTCTCTGTCTGTCTGGTGAGCACACGCGCCCTATAATGAAAACTTCTCCAAAAAGAAAAAAACAAAAGCACATTGAGGAGTCCTCCACCTCTGTCTCTCTGTCTGGTGAGCACACGCGCCCTATAACGAAAACCTCTCCAAAAAGAAAAAAAAACAAAAGCACATTGAGAAGTCCTCCATGACCGACTGTTACATTTGGCTCTAAGTGTCCAACTGCAAAAGCAGCCACGGCCTGTAGCACACGACGAGCAGCTTCAGAAGGGTTCAGAGCACATGCAAACGGAGGTGCAGTGCTGGTAAAAAGCCACGCTGAGTGAGCTGGTGTGACTGAGTACACTTAAACGCAGCTGAGGGAAATGACATTGGACGAATAGAAGGAACTTGTAAAGGCAGAGCCTGGCTGGGTCAAAGGCTAGCCTTCCACAGCTGCATGCCATTGAGCAGGATGTCCTTCAGGATGTGTGGGGGGACCCCCGTAGGGTGACACTTGCTGAGTAGTCTACACCATCTTGGTAGTCCCATTCACCCACAAGCCAGGTTCCCAAGAGTGGAGGTTCTTGGTGAACACAGGCTTCCCACCTACCCACCTGCAGCCTGCATGCCTGGTATCAGACTTGGTTAAAGGCCTGGATGTGTTCACCAAGTGTTCCTGGAGGACCTGCCATGTGCTGGGCTTCCCGCTGAGCCCTGGAAACTGTCAGGCTGAGAGGGAAGTGCAAGCTTTCACTCGGTGCCCTGTGGTCTGGTTGGCTCTCTGACCCTCAGCCTCTCCCCCATCATTCAAGCCACTTGATCTCCACCTGTGGACTCAGCCCGTCCAGGTGTGTGTCAGGCACATGGCCAGTACCTGGCATCTACAGTGCTCAGAAAAACAACAGTGAAAAGCTTTTATTTGGCTGATTGAGAAAAGCAGCAGGTGGATAGCAGACAGGAGGGAATTAGTGTCAGAGCTGTAGACCTGGGCAGCTGAAAGGCAGGTGAGTTTGGATTGTGTGCTGAGCCTCAGTCTGTCAAGTGGGACGCTCAAAGCTCGCAGAGGGCTTGGTTATTTGTTCAGACCCTAACACAGAGCTGCCTTCCATGACGGTGGCTAATCTTGTAGGCTTGAGGGCGTGGCTGTCGGTGGGCCCTGCTGCTTCCTGGAGTAGCCCAGGCGGAGGCAGGACTGTCACTGAAGGTCATCTGTGGGCCCTGCTGCTTCCTGGGGTGATCCAGGTGGAGGCAGGACAGTCTCTCACGGTCATCAGGCACACCCTAGAGTCACTCTCTATGATCTCTCTGATCCTGTGATCAGTTTCAGGGCCTCAGGCAGTGTGGCCTATTAGCACATCAGGCATAGGCATCACCGTCTGGGTGCCCATGGGATGCGTGGGGCATCACTGGGTACAAGGATGTGGTAAGAGAAAGGAAGTCACTCCCTGGCCAAGAAACGGTCAGCAAGCGTTCTCCTCGAGCCCATCTCTCCTGCCCCCTCCCTCTCGGTGGCTCCTGCAGCCAGTTCCCCTGGCCCACAGGGTATGAATGTCTTTAGGGAGAGAATCATTATTTCCGTAGAAAAGAAATGGTCCAGGAATGGGTCCCTTTGAAAGCAATGTGGGGACCAGCAGATGACGTAATAGTTACGACACTGGACTCCTATGTAGTCAATTGCATTTCGAGTCCCAGACCAGGCGACTTCAAACGCATGCCAAGTGCATGTGTATGCATGCCCAAAATCCCAAGAAGAGAATTTAGGAGAAGGGATTGTGTGGCCAGCCCTATGAGAGGGTAATATCTCGCTTTCTGTCTCTCTCTGTCCCTCCAGCAGGCACACTCACCCTTATCAAAAATCCCTCTCTAGGAAAAAAAAGAAAAGCATTGTGGGTATGGACATAGCACACACTCATGTGACCCTGAGCACTGGCCACACGCCTTTTTGCCCTGTTACTGGGAAGCAGAAATGCATGGGGTTTCACATTACTCTCCCTCGTCTCCCAGCTGAACCTGGTTTGGAGTCAAAAAGAACAAGTGCAAAGGAGGTTCACGTCTCACGAAGGCCGCATCCAGTCAGGTCAGACCCTGGGGCATGCGCTAAGAGCCCACAGCCCCAGGGCCACCTGGAAGCGGTCTGCAGACCCTGGGAAGGCAGGGACGTTTATACTAGTAAGAGGGTGACAAGACGTGCGGTTGTTCTGAGAGCATTTGCATTGAGACAGAGGAGGTCTCACAGAGATGGGGAAGGGGTGCAGTGGGGTGGACGTCCACTAGCTGAGGCTGTCTGCAGCAGCTTACTGCAGCGGCGGCGGCCAGGTCAGCAGGACGTGCGGTCAGCCTGAGGGAGACAGCCACCCGGAGTCCTCCAGAGAAAGAGGTTTGGTGTAGTCAGCATGTGGCCCAGGGTGAGCAGGCTGACCAGCTGACCCCCTTTCTCTTAGGTCTCTGACTGTCTTATTTATTTACTTACCTCATTTTTAAAATAAAATTCTCTTTTCTGAATAAACTCTATCTCCACGCTGGCTTCTGGAGGCCTTAATAGCCAGAAGGGATTTGGGACCTGTTCCAGAAGGGGCTCCTTCCCCTTCCTCTGTTCCCAGAAGCTCTTCTGGCTTCCTAACCCATGTCTGCCTTGCCCTGAGTACACGTGTCGTGTGGCGACCGATGTTTATCTCTGCCCATTAGAGGTGACCACTGAGCACCTCCCGTGTGCACCAGTGTGTGACGGGTTTGGGAGGCAGACTCCTGCCCAGTTAAGAAATTCCAGGGTCTGAGTGGGGGCGGCATTTCCTGAGGGGTGCTGAGTACAAGGTGGGTCTGAGTCTGATGTGTCAGCTTGGGGATGATCTTCTGGAGTGGACAGGGCGTGGTGCCCAAACTGAGACCCCAAAGTAAGGGGGCCAGAGCAGGGTGGGGGAGCCCAGGTGTGACCTGGGAGTGGGCTCCCGTGGAGGGGAGCATGCGCCCAGTCCTGAACGTGATCAGGGTGGGAGAGCGGGGCAGAAGAGGGAGTCACAGGAGGAGACGCTGGAGAAAAGAAAGCTAGAATTGTGGTGAATTCTTTCCACAAGAATTCAACCATTCTTTCACCATTCTTTCCACCTTAAACTATAGTCAGAGCTAAAACATGAATGTTCAAGGGTAATTTTCCATTGAATAAGCTCTTGTGTTTTGAAGTAGAAGGAGAAACTAACACGACCATGTGGGTCTGAGATCCTCGGTGTTGCCCTAGCATATCTGTCTTCCAAGGTTGGCAGCCACGTCACAGGATGGACACTAACGCGCTTTCTGCTTTGTGGTTTCAGCACTTCAGGGAGCACCTGGACAAACTTTTTGCCAAAGGCATCGGCATGCTGGACATAGCCCTGAATGAGGCCTTCAACATCCTCAGCGACGTAAGCTCCTCTTTGATTGGCCTTTCTCACTCCCAGGGGAATGGACGGGATGTTTAAAATAACTGTGAACCAATATTATCGTCAGCCCTGAATGTCGCTGAGGAGGGTGCGCAGGTGTGGGTGGAGGGCAGGCTGGCGGCCAGTTGTCTGGGGGACAAGGTGCCAGCTGGTGTGACCAGACTAGCCCTCCGCTGGGTAGGGTTGATGGTGAACTCTGGCCAGGTTGCTTGTCTACTGTGTGTGTGGGCTCTGGGACCAGCTGTGTTTTTTTCTTTTCTTTCTCTCTTTCCTTTTTAGTTTTGCCAGAGAGCATGTAGACTTGCCAGAGAGAGACAGAGAGACAGAGACACAGAAGGAGAAAGCACCCCACCCTACCCCCTTGGGATGTGGTCATGCCACAATCCTTTCTCCTCCATTTCTCCATCCTGTTGGAATTTGTGGCAAGCACACATGCCCATGCGTCTCCCTAAACTGGCCCCTCCCCATTGTGTTTCCAACACTCAAAACACTTTGTAAGGCAGGTTTCTTTTCAGCTGAGAAACTCCATTTTTTCACAGTGGGCTCATTCTTCATTGAGTGCCTCCCTGATTCCCTGTCTGGCAATGTTTAGAAAGGGGTTCACTGTACAGTATAGTTAGGGGTATGGCACTGTGTCTGCACTTCCTCTCCCCAGCCCCTGGGAGATTCAGAATATACAGCAGACTATGCAAGGCCAGTAAGTACTACATAAGGAATCCTGCTTAACCTGGTATTTCTCACTCTTCTTTGAACAAAGAGTCTCTCTCTCTCTCTGTTTTTTTTTTTTTAGAGGTTTTTGTAATATGGCACGTGCACTCACTGGAGAGAGAGAAAAACAGAGACAGTGAGAGGAAAACTGAGAAATCGCCCTCCCCACGGGGATGGCCACGCCACAATCCCTTCTCTTCTATTCTCCTCCTGGGATCTTGGGCACACAATCACATGTGTCTAGTGTGAGTTTCAAGCCATTGTGTCCGGGTCTTGAACCACAGTTGGTTATGTGGGAGTCCAGTGACACAACTCTATGCCATTTGCTGGCCCCAAAGAATCTCTTTTACAAGTAGCATTATTAATATTGCATGAAATATGTTGGGGAAATCCTGGGCTGGAGATTCTGACCCTTGTTTCCAGTTGTATTCAGCTAGAATAATAAGCCACCATTGTCTGCTTGGTACTCTGGGAGGGGGGAGTAGGGAAATTCATGACCGTCTTTATTAATCCATATCGTTTATTTCGCAGCGTGTGGTGTGTGCTTTTTAGTGCCAGATACTGGGAATACAACGGTGAATAGAACAGATAGTCTTGGCCTTAATGGGTTGTCTTCTGGGACCGAGGCTGGCAGACTGTGGTCCACGCTCCCAATCCTGCCTGCACCCGTGCTCATCAATAATATTCTGTTAGACATAGCTACACCCACCTGCTGCACGTCATGTATGGTGGCTTTCGCGCTGCAGTGGAGGAGACGAGTAGCTGTGATTGAGGAGCCGTATGACCGTAAAGCCGGAAATATTTACTTTGTGGTTCTTTACGAATTTTGCTGACCTCAGTTGTAGTGGGAATGACCAGAGGAGAGAGTAGGTAAGTAGGGACGTAGAAACAGTAGTGCTGTTGCTCCTGCACAATGCGGGTTCTAGAAGGAGGGAGCATTGCTGCTTTGTGTGGTGAGGTCAGGGAAGGGGTCTCTGATGCAGTGATTCTGGATAGTGATGTGAAGGACGTGAGGGAGCAGCCGTGAGGACGTCCTGCGGAGGGAGCTTCCAGCAAGGGGAGCAGCGAGTGCCAAGGCCCTGAGGTGGGATGTTTGCCGTGTGTACAGTACCACAAGGCCCCTGTGTTGAGAGCAGAGGAGGGAAGAGAACGCGTGGGAAATGAGGTCACAGAGGGAGCCGAGAGCCGAGTCACGTAGAGCCTCAGCAACTCTATGGGGCCAGCTGGTGGTGTGGTGATGAAGTTGGCTGGATCCCACGCGGCCAGCTACACGGTGTGAGTCCTGGATCCAGAAGCTTGAAAATACACTGGGCACATGTGCATACATGCCCAAGATCCCCAAAGAAGAATGGAGAAGGAATTGCAGTGTGGCCATCTCCCCAGGGGGAACTTTCTCCCTTTCCTTCTCTCCCTTTGGGTCTGGCAAGCATGTGTGCCCTATAGCAAATTAAAAAAAAAAAAAAAAAAAAAGAAACTCTAGGAAGGACCTTGATTCTTCCTGCGTGGACTGGAAACCGTTGGAGAGTCTGAGCAGAGAGTGACATGGTCTTGTATGTAACACCATTTTGCTGGTTGCTGTATTTCGAAGCCATACTTAGAGGGCAAGGACCATAGGGGAGGCCGTTCAGTGACCTGAGTGAGAGGTCATGGTGGCTTGGAACAGAGAGCTGTGACGATGTTAAGAAGTCACAGAGTAGAAGCACTCTAGGTATTCCAAATAGTAGGAGTTAAATTAGGGACCTGATTGCCTCAGGGGTGGGAATGCTGAGCAGCCAAGCAGGGAATGAAGAGCTCCACTGATGAGCACCAGCAGGAGGCACCTCCTCTCCGGATGGAGAGGACAACAGCAGGAAGGGGGACATCAGCGCGCAGTCAGTGGCTTCCAGGTAGGATGAGAACCATCAAGGAGGCTTCCCAGCAGGACCTGGGACCAGGGAAGAAAAGCCCAGTGGTGTGGAAGCTGGCGCTCTGCACAGCTATGGCCAGAAATCTCTCGTTCCCCAGACCAGAGAAAAATGTCTTAGAAACACCTTGGATTCTTTCCCCTGTGGATGAACCTTGTCAAAGCTCTCAGGGAATCCAGGAAACATGGTTTGCACGAAAAAGGCCTGGAATGACCTGAAGGAAGCAGCACCCACACTGAGGAGTCTGGCAGAGCTGGGAGGCTAGTGGGAGGCTCCCAGGACTCACTGGAGCCAGTCTCCAGGCAGCTCTGCAGGGCAAGCTCTTGTCGTTTTGCCAGTGAGCAAACAAAGGCTCAGGCAGCTGAGTCACTTGCTCAACACCGCACAGCTTATAGGTGGTGGTTAGTTACACCTGCCTCCAAGCATTGAGGGTTTACTATACAGGCGTACTGGCCTCTCAAGCTAAGGGTCAGCCCTCGGTCTAGACTCTCTTTTACCAGTAAAAGCTGTCAGGGCACACAGCCAAGCTGCACCTCTGCATTCTGGATGGAACCATGGCCAGGTGCCTTCTCAGAGCAGGGAACTCTGCATCTCAGCAGGCCCTTTCCAGATGCTACTATTGAAAAGACTTGCTACTGTTTGAAAATTTGCTCGCCTTTTATCTCAAAAACCCAGTGGAGGAGCAGGAGTCAGCCCCCTCCAAGCTGGGAGTCCCTTGTTTAGAAGGCGGCCTTGCACTGATTTTCTGCTTGCTTGCTCTCTGGCCTAGGTGTGAAGAAATGCGAGTTGGAAGCCTGTTGTGGTGTTGCCCAAGTGTGTGCATATGGCTTTGAAGTCAGATAGACTGGGCTGAGAAGCCCAACTCAGCCAGAGCTTGCTGTGTGACCTGGAGAGAATGATTCTGTCTCACTCTTACTTTTCTCATCTGTAAGCTGTGAGTAAGAATAGGCCCAGCACTGACCTCATCAGTTGCAAGGCCTAGTGCTTAATGAAAATGCAGGGTCCCTTGTTCAGATGTTATTAGGTTTTGTTTTGTTTTCTTTTCTCTTATTTTTTAGAGGTTTTTGCCATAGGGTATGTGTGTTTGCTGGAGAGAGAGGCAGAGACAGAGAGAAAGTGAGAAATCACCCTCCAGGGGGAATGGCCATGCCACAGTCCCTCCTCCTCCTAGAATTTTGGGCATGCACGCACATGTGCCTGGTGTGATTTTTAAGCCACCTGTGCACATCGCTCGCCCTTGAAGCTGGTGCTGGTGGTCTCTTTCTCATGGGGTTGAAAGCTAGCAAGGTGAAGCAGTACCTGGCTCCATTTCAGCAGGGTAGGGTTGGGGGAGGCGTGCCCTCTTGGTGACCACTGGGCTGCCTCTGCTCTCGGGGTTTCTAGAGGCAGCTCCAACTCTTGCAGCTTTGGCCCTGCTTCCTTCCCCCTCTTCTTTCCCTTGTCCTGTGCACCCCTTCCACTAATCAACATAAACAGCCTAAACCAGAGCTCCCCATGAGCACTGGTCTGCTAGGTCTCCCCGCATGGGGGCCGTGGTCAGCCTGGGCAGTGCCATCCTCGTCTTGGAAACCACAGTGCACTTGCACATGGTAAAGGCTGTCGTGGATCAAGAATGATACCCCAAAATGAAGGCATCAGAAGCAAAGTTTCTGTCTAACCTTCTCCTGCCCTCCCGTCTTGCAGTCCTCCTTGTTCCCCTAGACAAGCCACACAAACTAGAATCCCTCTTTCATAAGGCAGGGCATAGAAACCAGAGTTCCTTGTCTCTAGAAGCCAGCCATAAAGCCTAGAAATACTATTCTCATTTTTCTCTGCCTTTCTGGGTAAGAGCTGGCCATGCAGAAATTCTCTGACCTGCCTTGTTGGCTAGTGTGTTGTGGGACCCCCATTCCAGAAAGGTTTGGCTCTGCATCCGGAAGAAAGGACTTATACACTAAGGCCAAGAGGAATCTCAGTGGGAGGCCTGACTGAGTTTTCCATTCAGGTTATTGCTAAGAAATCAAACCCCTTTGATTCAATCGTATTTATATACAGCAATACATGTTTCATTGATGCTGAGTATGAAAATGGATCATTTATCTTGTCTCTGGATCTTCAACCTCAACTGTCCTCTGTCACCTAAAACCATGCTCAAACAAATTTGTTATCATTTCTCTCCTACTAATCCATCTCTTTGTAATTCATTTTGAACCAGAAACTTCAGAGTAGGAGGGAAATTTTCTTCAGTCCTTATAAGGCCTTAAGGGGCCCTACAGCGATCAGACCTCTTCAAGTGTGTTTATGCCAGTACTCAAACGTACTGACTCAGTAACACTTCGTATCATATCATAAAGTCAGTTTTAGCATCTCGTAGGAGTAACTGCTCACTAAGAACATTTTTGGGTACAGTATCATGGTGTACGGAGAGTATATTCACACTTCCACTGGGACCACTGAGACCTGGAGACATTGTCGACACCAGGTGGATTTTTTATTTTTCCTTGAATCCTTGCAGGGAGAGTATTTTTTGGACAGGGAAACTCTCCACACACTTATCTGCCCTGCCCTGCCCAGTAAGAACCGTCCTGGAGTCTGGCCAATCAGAAAACCAGATGGATTGAATGTCAATCTTGGAGAGCAAGAACCCAAAGAGCCAGTCCGTGTTACAGATGCCCCTGCGTGAGATCGGTGGGCTGTCCAGCACCACATTTGTTCACATGAACATTTATCCCCGAGAGAGAGACATTTCCACCCCATCCCTTGCCATTGGGTTTTTTTTTTTTTTTTTTTTTTCCCCGGGGTTGTGTTTTTTTTTTTTTTTTTTTTTTTTTTTTTTTTTTTTTTTTTTTTGCCGCTGGGTTTTTAAATAACCCAGCTGTTCGACAAACACAGAAATGGCTAATCTCCCGTGAAAATGAAGCTTTATCTATTTTTCCACTTCATCAATATGACCTTTAAGTGATCTAATTCTCTTTCCCCGTATTATGGCTGGTGCTGCAAGCCAACATGAAATAAAAAGCTCGCTCGCTCGCTCTCGCTCTCGCTCTCTCTCTCTCTCTCACACACACACGCACACACACACAATTGAAATTGCTCCTACGGCTGAAGCTTAGAATGGTTCAGAGGTTACTATAATTAAATGGAGTTAATTCTCTCTTACAATTACCTGCATTTCAGTTGTGGTATTTGCTCCAATGACTTAAGGCTTGCAATGGTTGATACAAATGGCTTTGAAAGGAGCATTCAGATAAACTTAGTTCTAAGCCCCTTACAGCTATTGATCTCTGCTGCATTCATTACATTCTATAAGAACACAGGGCCGGTTTGCTACAGTGGTTAGCATCTACCTTGTCATGTGACAACTGCAATTATCTTTTTTGGCGATGAATGTGATCTTTGCAGTGATTACCTTTTAAAAATTTTTCTTAGCCAATTAAATAAAATTTGGTGACATTTCAAAGACTGTTAATCACAACCAAATGCTCTAAATGTCAGGATGCATTGAAATTTTCCCTGCTAACTGATGAATCACTGAGCTAATTGGTGTTCCTCATCAGGGCCTTGTCATTGTTATTATTATGGAAAACACTTTCATCACTCTCCCTATTCAATAAAAAAAAAGTTCTAGACAAATATGAAGAGAAGAGATATTACTCATCAAAGCATTTGAATTTAATTGCATTGTTCAAAATTCTCCAGCTACAGATTGCAGCAGGGAATAGCAGGGGCCCAGCCCCAGAGGAAAGCCATGTTTTTAAATAAACAGCTCCTGCCAGCCCCTCCTCCGGTCCCCATAATTCTGATGTCTTCATTTCCCTCTATTTCTCTCCTTTTGTTTGGGAAGGTTTTTCCAGGAGGCTTTCAAATGAGTTGCATCAACAATAGCCCCAGGGCATCCTGATGTTCTTCCCTTGGGAAACTCCTGGGACCTGAAGTAGGGATCACTTTTATTCACTGGCATGCTGCTGCTGGATATATTCACTGGCATGAAGCTGGTGCTGAACCCAGTCTCCAAAACATCCCCGAACCACCCGTTGGTAACCCCAGGCTGCAGTAAGGGACAAGATATACAAACAGGGCAGCATTCTGGTGGTTTCTCAGTTGAAAAGACACAGTTGAGGTATTTATAGAGACTTTGACATCTTGTTGAAGGCGGGCCTTTCAGTGTGAGAGGAGGAAAGAGGCTTGGTTAGGAGCAGGTAAGAAACTTAATGTAGTCAACAGTTAGAAGACACAGGAAAGGTATGATTTCAGGACCCCGGGGTCGAAAGTCTTAGAGTCTTTCTTCTTCTTCTTCTCTTTTTTAAAAAAATAATTATTTCATTTTAATTTTATTTATTATTATATTTTAAAATTTGACCAGAAAGAGATAGGCAGAGGGAGAGAGGGAAAATGAGAAAGCAAGCCACCAGGTCCAGGACTCAAACCACAGTCAACCATGTGCCTTAACCACCATACCACCACCTTCTGGACCCAAGGCTTTCTTTAGAAACATTGACAGGTGCCACAAGAAGATCCTGGAATAAGCAATAACATTGCTCATACATTGTATCTTCCTGGCAAGTGTTTGTCTGGGACAGCAAGCTATGTTGAAGATGATGGAAGAGTAGTCACGTGAACAGCTTTATGGCGTGATGGCTTTAGTTTTAGGTATTTCTACCTACTAAAAAGGGCAGTACCATGAGTCTTGTCTCATTCATTCAAGGGCCCATGTCTGGTCTGAGTTTCAGGAGTGGCTGCCAGGGCCAAGACTAAAGTGAGGCAAGTGCTTAGACAAAAAGTTTAAGGAGCACTCACTGTGAGGGCCGCACTCTGGGGAATGCCTTCTGAGTCCAGAATCCCAGATAGCATGAGGAGGAAGAGGCAGGAGAAGGAAACGAACATTTCTGGAGCCCTTTGTGTATCACCAGCTACTCAAGAACCTTCTGGTCATGGGCAGGGTGTGTAGCACTGAATCAGAATCAATTCTAGAGCCAGATTGCTAGCATTCAAATCCCGGCTATGCCAGACAGTAGCCGTGTGACCTTGGGCAAGTTGGCTAATCTTTCTGTGCCTTGGGCTCCCTACCTGTCAAATCGGCGTAATAATAGTACCTACCCCAGAGGTTAGCGAGATTCAGTATGTTCCTGCGTGTAGCCCAGCAGATGCGTGTTTAACCTGTGTCATGACAACTGCGTAAGCATCTTTCTGCAGGCTGACAAATGCCGCTCCAGGAGAACATGTACTAGGCATGCAGTGTGCCGGCATGGGATTGAGTGCCTTCTGCTGTGTAGCCGTACCCTGTATATGTTTTGATTTGGCTTTGTTCTGTCCCCAAAGGACTCCAAGGCAGTTTGATCCACCCGTCTGTCCATCTGTCCAGTTATTTATCGTCTTCACTCGTGTTACAGCAATGTCAAGCTTTAACTGGGATGCTTTACTAGCGCTCAGGCTCGCCAGTGGCCGGCCAGCCAGGCAAGAGCAGCCTCCATGCCAGGGGTGCCTTTTCCAAAATGCCCTTCTCCCAACACTCACGGCCCTTGGTATTACACAGATGTCACCTTCTCTGTGAGGTCTCCCTTGGCAATTTTTCCTAAAATAAGCCCTTAACCATCTCTCTTTCTTTTTTTAATTTTGCTATGGGTGTGTGCGTTTATGGCAGAAAAGCGGGGAGGTGAAAATCACGCCCTGCAGGGATAGCCACACAACAATCACTTCTCCTTTCCCCTCTCCGGATTTTAAGCACGCACGCACATGTACCCAGCACATTTTTCAAGCTGCCGGGTTTGGGATTCAAACAACTCAGTCAGCCATGTGGTGTCCAGTTGCCTTAACCGCCATGCCATCTGCTGGCCACCTTTCATCATCTCTTATTCCTCTTCTCTGCTTTCTTTTCCCCTTTTAACATCATAATTATTAAAATACAGCATGGTTTACTTACTTATCTTGTTTGTATACACCTTCCCAGAAAGAATGCGGAGCTACGCAAGGGAAGGGAGTTTTGTGTGTTTCGTCCCCAGCACTGTGTGAGCACTTAGCAAATAACTTTAGAATAAAGGAATGAACTTCACAGATTACAGTGGAGGGAGTTCTCACACTCCTCAAGGCCCGAGACTTTCTGTGTGTTTCCCATGCCGCAGCATTGTCATTGTAATTGTAGGGTTTTTACAGAGCATGGTGCTACCGTGAATGGCACCGTAGTAGCACTTATTAAGGGACTTTGCCACCTCTGATTCAGGGAAGGACATGCCACTCTGGCAACCTTTTGTTACCAATCACAGATGCTGGGAGCTTTTGCAAGGTTACATAAAGCTGAAAGTTGAGGACATTTAGGGTTTTACACCCAATGAGGACAATCTTGGAATGTCTGCATGGCGTACACACAGTTATAACATTACATGCTAACCATATGCACTTAAACCCTTAGACAAGAGTGCTCAGGCTTCTAATCTAAATTGTCCTGTTCCCAACTTTATTCTCTACATGTCCAAAACACTTGTTTTACCATATTTTATACATTTTATACATGTTGGACCCACTCAAACCACCCTCATTTAGATTTTTTCAAAGAGGTGTTGCCTCTCAAATATCCTTCTTCCTTTATAATGCACCCCTAAAAGGTTATTGTGCCAACTCCTTTGGGCTTGTTTTCTGAAACATAGTCCAAATTTGAATTCTAGTTGTGCACGCTAGAATTTTCCTTCTCACTCCATGTGTGTTTTTCTAGAAATTCCTCTGCAGTCTGTAGTTAGTTCCAACTTGTTGGAGCAAATATGGCCATCTGTGCAGAAAGACTTACTATGTATGTTTGGTTTGGGGGAGGCACACGAAACTCATGTTAAGAGGCTCCCAAACTCAAGACCTCATGCCTCTAAGGTCTCACAGAAACACAGAACTCCGGCGTGTATTTTATTTGTACTTCTTTCTTTCCACAGTTCAACCACACAGGGCAAGGAAGTATTTGCAGCCAGGCCATCATGCTCATCACTGATGGGGCGGTGGACACCTATGATACGATCTTTGCGAAATACAATTGGCCAGAACGAAAGGTAAGTCGGTACCAGCACTACCCTTGCAGTGGCGTCCATGAGAATCTTTATTGCAACCTTCAGATGATCCACAAAGCACCCTGTGTAGACAATCTCATAATGACCAATGGTTTCTCAGCCGTGTGATTTTGGGTTGACCAAAACTAAAGTCTTTGGCTTTCCTTATTTTCAAAATGAAACCCTTTTGGAGAAGAAAAGCAAGCTGGAAGTTACGTTCAACATGTTTAGTAAAATGATTCACCATGACGTGTGCTTTGTCCCTATTGGGTAGCATTTCTCTTTATTTTTACATTCCTTAGAGCCAGAGCTGCCTGGTGGCCCATCACCTACAGGGTGGTCACGTGAGCCATGATGACCTGCAGGCATCCCCTTGATGTGTCATGTTTCTGAAGTTCCTTTCTGTGCTCCCCACTGCCTCCTAGAACCTTCACTCCATCTCCCCTGCCCAGTTCCTTATCCTTGTCAAAGCCCATCTGTTCCCTTCTGATCCCTTTTTTCTTTCCAAGTTGGCCTTTTCTGATCCTGTAAACCCATATGTTAGGGTTTCAGTGACTGATAGCAATATTTTTGGTGCCTCTAGAGTGCTTTCACTCAGAGATTCCTCAAACTCTGAATTAGTTTGACTTCTCTGGGGAGATTTTTAAAATTATAGGTACTTCAGCCCAACGCTACATCTTCAGAACCAAAATCTCTGAGAATGTGGCCAGCAATCCATGTTTTTAATAAGTTCTGTAAGAAGGCGTGAGTAAGTGGGTTGGTAGTTGGCGGTCAGAAAATGACTGTCCAACTAGTGGAATTGTAGCAGAGAAAAGAGGTCAACGGGATGCCGTTTGGATATCACGAAGGTGTTCTCATCCCACGTGCCAGTGACGTTGCCCTGACTGTTCCTCTAGGTTTGTGAGATAGTCCAGCCGCATCCATTTGGTAGACTTCGTCAATTTCACACATTTAATTTCTGGGAACTGAACTCAGCATGCACATTTGGCAAAAAAGAAACAAGAGACATGACAGTTATGTCTTTAGCTCTGTCCAGGGAGCACGTGCCCTGGAGGGAACAGGAGATGGGAGACATCACTTAATATTCCCTTGGTCATTCTTGGCCTACACATGACTGATAACATGGGTGTCTCGCCTCTGCTAGCGTGAGTCTGCTGTTTAAAGCGGCATACCTTTGTACCACATAGAACCTCTGCGATTTAACAGCATGTCAAGGTGAGGTGAAGTGCTGTGTCTCAGCAGTCAGCTCTCTGTTATTTTGACATGAGGTACTTCCTAGAAGGTTGTGTCCTGCTGTAGTCTGACAATTTGAAAAATTGTAAAGACAGAAAATGGGTCTAGGGGACAGAAAATACGGAGTTTAAGGCTGGAACATGATTCCTATGAAATAATGGTTCTCAAACTTGAGTGAGTCTTGGAATCCTTCAGAAGGCTTGCTCCAGTCCTGCTTGCCGGACCCCAGCCCTGGAGCTTCCGATTCAGTAGGTCTGGATCGAGTGGGACCTGAGAATTTACATTTCTAGCTGTTCTTGGCGCTGGTAAAGGAGTCACATTTGGGGAACTTCTGCCATTGGAAATATTGGGTCACTGGGACAGTCAACGCATCTTTGCATAAAAAAATATGTCACGACTTCCAGCAACCCAATAGCTCAAGGAATAGGTTTGGCTACTCCATAGGCTTTGCCCAGCTCACCCTGCCCTGTACCTTTACAAGGACCTGTTCCCTCAGTTGAATGAGGTGCACAGGTGTGTTTCTTGGCCCCTACTCTGTTTTCAAAACTGTCCCTTACTGATCCACGTTAAACAAACTGGAGAGATTCTGTAACATTTTAAAGTTTTCATTTCCCTCCTCATGGGTTACACCTGGAACTTTGGGGCCAATGTTCTCATGTGGCAACGAACGACTGGAGTTGGGAAAAGGCTGCCCCTTTTCTTAGACAGCAGATGCCTGCTCTTCTTGGCCATGACCCTCACCACACCCCGTCATTTCCTCTCAGCCTTTGTTCATCGGCTGAGCAAAGTACCTGCCTGTATGGGTGGAGTCCCTGACCCCTGCTCTAGATTAGAAGGTATCTGCTCTTTCCAGGCATGGCCTGTATTCTCAGCCTCCAGGAACTCGTGCCCTCTGCTCTGAGCCTTCCATTTTGTCCTTGCCTGAACCCTAAATGCCAAACTCCCTAGAATTGTCTTAAGGGAAGTAGGGCTTTCTGTCTAATATTATAATTACTTCCGGGCCTAGCTGTAGTTTTCATTGTGTGGTGAGTCCACAAGGACAAGTTCTCTACTTCCGAACTGTCCCACCATTTTGCAGCACATCCCAACTCTGCTGAGGATAGTGCAGAGCCCCAGAGTAGCTTTACAACCTCTGCCCCCTACTGTTTTTCTCCTGTATATGTTCTTCACCAGAGGCGGATTCTTCCTCAGTCCAACCTTCAGATGAAAACACAGCCCAGTCAGCACCATGACTGCAGCCTTAAAAGACCAGGTACAGAGGACCCAGCTAGACTGTGCCCGGACTCCTGTCCCATAGAAAGGGGATTCTGTTTTAAATCAGTGCATTGATGGTGCTTTGTTATGTGGCAATAGATAAGTAATGTAAGAAGCAAGGAGAAAGGACTAAAATCACTTACAGCAATGCTGTAAAACATCCTTGAATCTAGTGATTTTAAAATAACAACAGATTTTTAGTCCTTGTCATTCTGAGCTCACTGGGTGGCAGGTCCACTCCATATGGTGTGTGGAGAGGTCACAGTGAAACTGCATTCAGCTGAGAGTGTGACTGGGGTGCCTGCCCCGTCTCGGCCTCTGTCTGCACGTGGTGTGTAGTCCTCCACGGCAATGCTCTGTGCCCCCCCTCCTCAGTCTGTGGCATGTACTTCCTTACTGTCCAGCAGCTGGGTTCCAAGAGCAGGAAGGATGGGAACAGGCTAGGGGAGCTTTATAGATGCCATTTTAAGGGCTATCCACCACCAAACCAGGGCCTTGGTTCATAAAACATTTCACAGCGAATTGGAAGAAGGAACATAGTCTGTGTGATGGTCATCTGCGTCTACACAGGTAACATTGCGAATGCCTATGAAATGAGCCCCTTGCCAGCACTTCACTTCCGAGAGCAGAAACGAGGGGCTATTTATTCATTTATTGGATACCATTTACTTTTTCTTAATATCCATTGGTTAGTGGTTGAACAGCATTTCTTATACATTTGGAATAAAATATGAACTCCTCAACATATAGAAGGATCCATTCCAGGATCTGCTCCAGTACAGCTGCACACACTGAAATCAGGAAGCTGGCTCTGTCTGCTGTCTCTGGAGCTGTTCTTCTAACAAAAACAAAGGAGAAGAAGGTCATAGAATGACTTATCTTCACTTACAGATGCCTAAGACAGAGAAGGGCTCACCCAGATGGGGAAAATACTGAGTTAAGTGATTTAAAGAAGGCGTTGGCAACCTGTGGGCTCTGGGCCAAATCTGACCGTGTGCCTGCTTTTGCACTATGAGTAGTTTCTATATACGTATTTTTTAAGTTGCCAGAGGGCACGTGCGCTCACCAGAGAGAAGCAGGGGGAGAGGGAGGGGAAGGAAGGGAGAGGGCATCTCCCTGTAGGACGTGGCCACACAGCAAGCTCTTCTCCTCTACTTCTTTACCCTGTTGGGATTTCAGACATGCATATACACAGGCCCAGTGTGTTTTCCAAGCCACTGTAACTGGAATGAAACCCCAGGGAGCCATGCGGGATCCAGATCTCTTAACCCCTAGGCCACAGGACCAGCCTAGACTTTTATTTATTTATTTATTTTTAGGTTTTGGCCGTAGAGTGTGTGTGTGTTTGCCTGAGATAGACAAAAAGAGGGAAAGTGAGAAATCATCCACCAGGGGCGATGGCTCTGCCACAGTCTCGTCTCCTCCATTCTCCTCTCAAGATTTTGGATATATATATATATATATATACACACACATGTACCCAGTGTGATTTTCAAGCTGCTGGGTGTGGGACTTGAACTGCAGTCAGCCATGTGGAAGTCCAGCACTTTAACCATCATGGCCATCATGCTGCCTGCTAACCCCACTTTTACATTTTTTTAATGCAGAAAAAAAAAAGAAAACAAAACCCAAATAACACCACCACCAAAATACATATATATACATATGTATGTGCACATATGTGTGTGTGTGTGTGTGTGTGTGTGTGACAGCAGAAAATGGTATGTGATCACATTTCAGCGTCCATAAAGTATTATTTTGACACAATTGCACACATTTGTATACCTATTGTCTATGACTGATGGCAGAGTTGAGTAGTTGACAGATACTGTCTGGTCTGCAAAGCCTGAAATACGTACTGTGTGGCCCTTTAAGAATATATTGGGGGTCGGCAGATGACACAGTGGTTAAGGTGCTACACTCCCACGTGGCTGACCGTGATTCGAGTCCTGGACCTGGTAACTTGCTTTCTCCCTATCTCACTCACTCTCTGTCTTTCTCTGGTAAGCATACGTGCTCTATAGCAAATGGATAAAATCATAATAATAATTAATAAAATAAATGAATAATTAAAAAAGAGACTAAGATCTACCACCCCGATCTAAAGGAGCCTTTGAAGAAATGTAGAGCTACTAGTGGATAGTTGGAAGTCGTTGAGACCTGCAGAATTGTATACGCTGACTAACTTCAGCAAGAGATGGCAGTGGCAAAGCCTTTCCCT